AACACACACCTGGCCATGGAACAGCTGAGAAGCCAATTGTCCCATCACTTTTGGTCCCTTAACAAGTGGGAGGCACATATGCAAACTGTTGTAATTCCTACACCGTTCACCTGATTTGGATGTAAATACCCTCAAATTAAAGCTGACAGTCTGCAGTTAAAGCACATCTTGTTCATTTCATTTGAAATCCATTGTGGTGTATAGAGCCAAAAATGTTAGAATTGTGTCGATGTCCCAATATTTATGGACCTGACTGTAAATCTAATACAAAGCTTTCACTCAGAGGCTTTTATTTATTTTTAAGCATGTACTGTACAAACCAGTCTCAGAAGCTTTTAACTCTGAACACCTGCCATCTGAAAACACTAACTCAGCGGTGTATTTTAAATATGAAGGCAATAGCCTTTATAGTTGCCTGTCAGAGATTCGTTTAAACATGTCTAACAGGACATTATTCTCTGCCCTTTCTTGGAATTCATTTAACTAACTATTTCCTTAGAAACAATGACTGAGTGGTTTGGAAAGAAATCTGTTACGCAAGTTAATTATGCAATACAAAGGAAAATACAAGCAATAAGGTAAATGTGAAAGAAAAACTATAGAAAATTATTTTTACATGCCACTCCATGTCACAAATACCTGAAGATGACTGAGTTGAGTGAATGCAGAGTCTAATATGGAACGAACACACTGTCAAGTATGGGTTTAGGCAAATCTGAGAATGCTCAAAAGGTGCAAGTGTCACACTCAAGGCCCATGCAAATCTGCAAAAAAATATTGAATTTACCTGTACAGTACTAAAAACTTGGGTGGAATTAACACAGAAAGTGTTAAATAAGTATGTAGCGACTGTCCGTTAAATGGGCATCACTCACCATCCATCCATACCACTGTGCAACAATGCACTAAATATTTTATAAAGGATAGGCCACTAACACCCAAACATACTATATAACTGTGTCTGTGAAACATGGGGAATGGGAACTTTCAAATTTGGGCCAGCTGAATTTACAGTACAGTTTATGTGACAGAAGTCTCAATACTTTGGAGGTACGAGCTGCAGAATCATGACATTATTATGCATTAATTAATTCATTCATTCATCTTCAAGCGGCTTTATCCTGGTCAGAGTGGTGGAGGATCTGGAGCCTATCCCAGGAACACTGGGTGCAAGACAGGAACACACCCTAAATGGAGCACCAGTCCATCGCAGGGCACCATGCACATATGTTCAATTTAGTGCAGCCAGTCCACCTACTGGCATGTTCTTTGTTGGTGGGAGGAACCCGGACTGTACATGACGGCAACAGTGCTACCCAGCGCACTACCAGCCACATCATGTAGAAAATAAAAGTGCAGGGTTTCATTGTATCATTATGGTCTTGCAAACATAGACTAAAACAAATGCAACAGGGTGTGTAGGCTTGCAAAAATAGGAATATACTGAGTCAGTAAAACAGATGTGCATTGTAAACTGTGCAGTAGCATTCAGTATAACTATTTACTTTATCTGAACTTTTTTTTCGTCTATGTGGTTTTGAGAGAGAAATGGCTAACGTTTGTTCTTTGAGATTGTGCTATCAAGACAGTAATTCACAGAGGAAGCATGACAAATTTCCATGATCCCCTTAATCCAATGCACCAGCCAGTAAAGAAAAAAAACAAACTAGGAATGTTAACTCCAAGCACCAAGATATCTTCCCTTGATTTCCTGACTAGAATAATATAACACAAAAGCTGTCCTTGTGGGTGTATTAGGTTATATATGTATAGATATAGTAAAGATATCGGTCAATTTGGAAGTATTTCTGAGGTGAAAGAAGCCAGATAACCTTGGATATTGGATATCAGGAATACTTCCAAATTGACAGATATCTTTACTATATCTATATCTGATATCTAGACTTTGT